GCTCAGATCATACAGCACAGCTGTTTAGGGTACCTTGAAGAACCCCCACAAATATTCTTTGGAGGATAGAGGAAGAAATCTGAGACCCTGTTCTGAGTTCAACATAGTACAGATACCCTTTCTTTTACCTGAGGGTTGAAGACGGTTATAGTCAGGGATTTTTGAGGCATTTAGCTAAGAGAATTTGAACTCAGGTGCAACTTTATCAGGGAAAGTACCAGATCACCAAAGAGGGCTAATGTACACATCTTCTACCTGTGTGAATGTTGGCTGCTAATGACTTCCAATGCTTTTCCTATGGAAAATTACTGTTACCTGATGTTGGTTTACTCCTGGAAGTTGTGTGCTACCTTCCCAAGTTAGAAAGACCAAATGAACAGGCATTCACTTGTCCTTAATACTCTCCCTTCTAAAATCACTTCTTCAATAAATTCTGGGCACAGGTTATGCCCCTGTGGAGGGAGCCAAACACAGAGGATGATACAACAGAAATATTAAGAGAAATGGAAACTGTAGCTTCACGGAAGTCAAAGGATGGTACACTTTGCAGAAATAGTGATCAATAGCATCAAAAGCTAGAGAGAGATCAAGAAAGGTAATCAGTAAAATGAATAGAAAAAAGGCTTTTGATAATTGGAAGTTTATAGGCAACTTTGGCATAGAGCTGTCAATACAATAAAAGAAGTAAAATTTCTGTCTATTGAATTTTTTCAAAGGCTCTACTTCTCGGTTTTGTCCTTCAAACTTTCTCATTGTCCTGACTCTCCAGTATATAAATTTTAACCATTCCAATTTACCCCTAGAGAAATATTATGTGCTGAAACATACAATCATTTTTGTCTCCCAAATTTACTTTGCATTACATTTTGTGACAAAATATATACCATTTCCTTTGTAGTTGCCTGAGACCAACTATTTGACCTTTTCTTACACTTATTGTTTGATTTCTTCATTTATTTGTTACTCCCTAATTGTTTATTTTCCCTGCTTTCCATGACTGGCAATGACTTACTTTCTTTCTCCTTAAATTTCATTTTCTTGCCTTTCTTTGGATTTGTGAATTATCCTTATTTTACAAGTCTTATTATTAAGTCTTTCTAATTCTAGTGTCTGCTGTGCATGTTATGGAGATATTAAAAAAGTACATTGTTAAGCGTTTTGGCTCATATGCGGCATCAGGTATTAAGAAAGGGATGAGTCTTCTATTTATTAGAGAAAAAGATCCAGAAACATTCCATGACAGTGAATATTATCTTGCAGAAGTGGAGAAATAAAATTTTTTGAACTTTATTTTAATCTTTAATATGTTATGCTTTCTTTCTTCACAATGTCTTGTGCATTTTTGCCAAGGTCTAGTTCATCCACAAATCCCTAGTATAAATTGTTCAGTGTCCTTTGTGGGTACAAGGTCACTTCTATTGGCAATAAGAGTAATTATTCTGATCATCATGGGTATGTTTGAGAAACAGTTGTGCAGCTTTGAATATTGTCTAGGCAGTCTAGACATGAAAAGTTTAAAAAGTTCTGAAAGAAATTATGGCTGCAGTCTCACGGGCCACGATAGTGTTTAACCCCTTGGCAGTGGGTGCCTGGAACTGAAAAAACTCACAGAGGAGTTTCTGATGTCTTGTTAGTGTCTTGATGTGACTACATTGGCATATTCATTTTTGAAAATTCAATCCATTTTACATTTTTGGTTTACATGATTTATGTATATGTTTTATACTTTAATAAAAATTCAAAAACACAAAAATGAAACCACAAAGTTCTTAGAGATGAACATAAAATTATTTTATAATTTCAGAATAACAAAGTCTTCTCTAGCTGTTACTCATAAATCAAAAGTCAACACAGAAATGGCTGATTAAATTGACTATAAAAATAAAACATAACAAACAAGGTCAAAAAATAAATGTCGTTAGAAAATATATTTGCAGCTCACATTACAAGCAAGGGATAAATCTCCAAGTATACAAATAGCTCTTAAAAATCAGTAAGCAAAAGAACTACTGGATTCAAAGTACATTTGAATAAATATTTAATATTATCAAAATGAGATAAAAATGGCTTTTAAATATATAAAGAGATGCCAAGCATGTGCTATGATAAGAGAAATGCAAAAGAAAACTAAGAAAATATTACTTTTAACTCGTTATACTGGAAAAGGTAGTTTTAGAGTTTTAGTTAACAAACTATGGTAATAAAGATGCATGAAAATAGGTAATCCCATGCATTGTTTGTGAGATTAGTTTATGTATCAAATGACTTAAGTATAGGAGGCTTGAGTGAAACAGTGACAATAATAGCGAAAGTGATAAATAAGAGTAAATTTATTTGCTTGTATGTGCATAAATGCCTTTTGGAAGAGTTCAAGTGGAAAGTAGATGATCAAAAGATGAAGTGAGAAATTTCACTGTCTAAAGTTCTGTTAACAGCTACTCAGTAGGAAAATTAGTTTAATAGAAGAATGAAACAACAACAAAACTGAAATTCAACATAAGTTGTATTAAATAGTAGGTCATAAATTTTGTAAGTGTACTCATAACATTAAAGTAAATAGTACTTATTTTGTGAAAATGACAATTGTTAGAGAATAATAACAGGAAATTAAAAAAAACAGAGCAATATAAAAACAGCATGCCACCCTACAATGCCTATCCTTAGCCAGATTTGAGGAAAATATTTATGCTCATGTAGCATGCTTGTTGGACTGTGAATTGGCACAAAAGTCCTGGCAGCCCATTTGGTGATAGATGTCATCTTACCAAGTAATCCTCCTTGCAGAAATTTGTTGCTAGAATATAATTAGCCAGATGAGGAAAATATTTATGCTCATGTAGCATGCTTGTTGGACTGTGAATTGGCACAAAAGTCCTGGCAGCCCATTTGGTGATAGATGTCATCTTACCAAGTAATCCTCCTTGCAGAAATTTGTTGCTAGAATATACTGTAATGAAGAGTCACACAGTGTTATGAATACTATTCACAGTGTTACTTTAATAACAGAATATTAGTATTGAACAATGAATAATCCATAAAACACAGTAGGTAACATAGCACATATTCATATGATGAGATATTGTTAAGTAGCTGAAAAAATCTGCTCAAGGGAGTATTTAAAGATGTGAGCATATGCTTACAATATATGGTAGTTAAGATTTGAGTATTATATCACATAACCACAATTTGGTACAATTTTGTAGAGAAGGTATGAAAAAAATATGCCCAATTGGTAGTAGGGTGAGCAATTTTCATTTTCTCTATTTTCAAAATACTGCATTTGTGGCATATTTTACTTTGCATTTGAGAAAATGAACAAAGCAAATAACATGGAGCATTTGAGTGCCAGGTATGGGCAAAGTCATCTGTTATTGTTCTGAGGGCTGGTTTCTTGGAGGTACTATATGGACCATATTAATTGGACAGCATTATTATACCCTGTAGGGTCTCTGGTGGAAGTAACTCACAGGCAGAGAAAAGCTCCAAGATTTATTTCAGAAAAGCCTTTTTGTCATCTGTCCGGCAGAGCACCTAGATTGACTCTTGGCTCAAATTCTAGGATGGCAAAAGCAGACATCCTCCTCTGAGGTTGCCCAGATTTATATTCAGATGTAGTTAGTAAAGACAGCTGGTCCTGAGAATGCAGTCTGTAATTCACTGCCCTAGGATGATGTTGATGAGCAGATCCCACCCCTGACCTACAGCCTCTCCTCCAAGCTGAGTGTGAGTGGGGCTAATGATTCCTCCCATGAGTCTAAACTACCACGATAGCCATTCCCTGGAAACACACTACTTTAAAAGGCTACGTGGAATTTAGACAAAATATGCAATTACTAAAATATAAAACTATTGTGCTAAAATGAAGATGAAGTCCCATTTTTTGATAAAAAGCTAAAAACACTGAAATTAGGAAGAGCTATGTTTGAATTTTTATTCTGTGTTTTGAACTCTAGTTCATCTTCCTGAGCCTCAGTTTCTTCAACTATAAAAATAGATCTTCAATATCTAGTATACTGAGTTGGAGGGTTACATAAAGAAAAGTATAAGACAACCCTTCAGACTCTATTAAAAGTGACCTTGGTCTGTGTCTGGCATGGATACACAGGGGCTTATGTGCTTTTTCGTTTAGTTATCAGTTCCTGAATTTCTTCCATTTACCCCACTCTAATTTTAAACTTTAATTTTTCTAAACTAAACGATTGATTTGATTGTAAAATGGTGTATCTTTTTGAAGAAAGACAAGAATAAAAACTCAAGCTATGTGTGAAGAAATCAAGACAAAATTTACTGGCACTGTATTAAAATTCAAAAGTTAATGAACAGAATAATTTATGAAATGGAATTAAACATAGCTGTATGTTTCAGCATTATTTTAAAAATGAACTTATAGTAATATCAGCTTTGAGCATACCATTTAAAAATTATAATGTGTGTATTTGTACAAAACTCACACTCATGACACTTCCATTGAACTGAAACAATTACCTTTTTTTTTCCTTTTCTTTTATTGAATTTATTGGTACATTTTAGGTATACAGTACAATTACATTCATTATTGGGATTTTGTACCTTTACATGACAGTCGGTCTTGGTTCTCATTTTTTCCCCTTGTCCCTGCGCTCCCTTCAACCCCTCCTCCCCTCCCCATTTACAAACACTTTATTTCCATCTTTTCACTTTGTCATATTTCTTCTTTTCCCTTATTACCTTTCCCCTACTCTTCCCATTTTCCCTACACCTTTAGCTCTTTTCTTCCTATTTCACATGGTCAATTATATCATTAAGATCTTATGTACTATTATAGTTTTTCACACCAGAGAAACTATTCCGTATTTACACGTGTGACTTATTTATTTTACTTAGGAGTATATCCTCAATATGCATCCATTTTCCTATAAATGAATCTAATTGAAACAATTACCATGTATTATTTTATTGTGTTCAACTTTCTCCGCACACTTAACCTGTGGTAACCATTGGTCTATTTATTCTCATTATAGCTTTGAGATTTTTGTTGTTTCAAGAACATTTCATGCATAGAACTTAACTGGCTACACTGAGATTCACCCATGTTGCTGAGGTAATTTCTCCTTTATTGTTCAGTAATATTCCACTGCATGGTTGTACAGTTATTTGTTTAAACATTTATCTGTTAAAGGGCAGTGAGTTATTTACAGATTTTGGCATTTATGAATAGAGTTGCAATAAACTTTCATGATTAAGTTTTAGCATGAAAATAAATTATTTCTTTAATATATAGTATGTTTTGAGATTGTTGGATTGATAGTAGGTGTGCATTTAAATTTACATGAAATTGCCAAATTGTTTCATAGAGTGGCTGTCTCATTTTTCATTGGTATCAGCAATGTGCAACATCCAGTTAATTTTTGTCTTTAGAAGCACTTGGTATTAATATTCCTTTTGTTTTCATATACTTAAAAAGACAATTAAACACAGAAAAGGGCATTTATTTTTAGGTACATACACATTTATTTAAAGTTGTTAAAATTTCATAGTGAATTGATGATACATCATTATGTAATATCCATCTTTATCTGTGATAAGCATTTACGCTCTGATAGGTTCTTACCTGAGATTAGTATAATCATTCTGGCTTTTTTTAGATTAATGTTTGTATGTTATACACTTCCATCCTGTCTATGTATTTGAAGTGTGATTTTTATAAACATCAGATATCTGAGGCTTGTCTTTTTTATTCTTTCTGATATTCTGTGTTTTAGGTTCTGTGTTTAAGCCCCTTGTACTTAATGTATCTAGCAATATATTTATATTTAGAATAACGATTTTATTACATTATTTTTGTTTGTTTGTTTGTTTGTTTGTTTTTTTTTGGTACCAGGGATTGAACTCGCATCCTTGCGCTTGCAAGGCAGGCCACCAAACTGCTGAGCTAAATCCCCATCCCTTATTTTATTATATTCTTTATGAACGTGGTTTGTGTTTTCTGTGTCTTGGCTTTTTATTCTTGTATTTTGAACACTTTTGTATTATTAAATTTTCATTTATCCATTATGTTCTTATTCAAATATTTTACAGTTTTTTATTGGTAGCTCTAAAGATTACAACATACACACAACACAATTTATTTAGGAGATCATATATATATATGTGATATAGATTTATATATTATATATATTATTTCAAATAGAATTTAGAAACAAAAACACCTGTTTTTGACATAAGGTCTTGCTGTGTATTTTAACCTGGCCTCAAATTTGTGATAATTTTCCTGCTTCTGCCTCCAAGAGAACCCTTATCCCCATAGAACTCCCTCTCTTTCCATTCTTTAGCTTGTAGTTTTCTTGTGTTCTTCTTCTGTATTCCTATTGCAAATCCCATCTATGTCATAGTTTGTGACATGTATACACACAACTTATGGTTAGTGTTTACACTTTAGAAATTATTACATACAAGACGTATTACCATCAATCTCTCTTAAAATACTATCCCTCACTGTGAACACATTTATCCTATTATTCTTACCACTTTTGGAAGCAATTCTGGACATTTTCTTCAGTGAGTATCTTTACAAGGCTGAATTCTATACAGCTGAAAGGGAGGCTTGTTAAAACATGACAGTGTGTTCTTACCCACCTTATCCCCTGGGTCTGGCTCTTCCCCAAAGTTAAAACAACCATGAGAGGCAAACATTTTGAGTTGATTCAGTACACTGAGGCAGCCGTGAGAGCATGATGAAAGCCACTCCGGAAAGTGTGAATAAGGACCAAAAGATACAACAGATAATGTGAAATATGAAGACGAGGCACAAAGGGAAGAGGAAATGAGAGGGGAAGGGAGAGGAAAGAAACGAATGGAATTGATATGAGCAAATGAAAACTAATGGAAACAAAGTCTTTGTGGATAGGGAGGGAGGGCTTTGAAGGGAGGGCAGAGGAATGGGGAAAAATAAGAACCAAGATTAGTTATGTAAAGGTACAAATTTCCAACAGTGAATGTCATTATATTATATACATTAAATGTACAAATAAAATTAATTAAAAAAAAGAAAGTGGATTTCTGGCACTGCTTCAGAAAGCAACAAGAATGATGAGACAAGTTTATTTGAAAGGACGGGGAGCACTGTAAGGGAGATTAATGTCATGTGATTTTTACTGTAATAGTTTTAAAAACATAAACATTCACTGCAGTTTTTGATCAGGCCTTGTATGTATTATATATTTTAAATAAAACTCCGGCAAAGAACCATCTAATACATTTACCCAGATAGTTACCATTTTTGTTTCTATTTTTCTATTACTGATATTTCTAGTTTCCTTTTGTTGTTATTTCCATTCCATTTTATGAAATACCTTTTGTCATACTTTTGGGAAGAATAATAGATTCTTTTAGTTTTCCTTTATTTAGAACATTTTGATTCCTGAGGTTTTTTTTTTTTTTTTTCCCTGAAGAATTTTTCTTTGTCTAACCTTTGGCCTTTTTTTTTCCAGTGCTGAAATTGAACTTAGGGAGCGCTGAACTACAGCCCTGGCCCTTTATACGTTGAGACAAGGTCTTACTAAATTTCTCCAACTTGAGATCTTCCTGCTTCAGGCTCCTGTGCAGCTGGAATTAGAGGCCTATGCCACCATTCTGGCTAGGCATTTGTGTCCAGGTTTGGATTTCTTTGTATTTCCCTTTTTTTTGAAAGTTAGAACTTTTTTGAATCTGTAGTTTTATATATTTCAAATCTTGGGAGGTCTTTAGATATTATTTATTCAGGTACTTTTCTTTTTCTTCAATGTGGTATATTATTTTCCTTCATCGAGGCTGCCAGTGACATGAATGCTTGATCAATGAATCAAAGTACTTTAGAGTTTGGTGAACTTTTTCAAACTCTTCTGTCATTTCTATTACGTGGTTGGCTTTATTCACAAAGCTTTCTTTTCCTTCTTCCTTCGAGTTAATTCATTGCTTTTAAAGTTCTAAAATTTTTTTTTTGGTTCTGATTTATACTTTTTATGTTTTTCAGATATATTCTATACATTTATTGTTTAAAGGTAACTTACTAATATTTATTGGGGAAATTTAAAATCATTTTCCCCTAATTCTTCCTATGGCAAGTTGTTTTAAATTATATTCTGGATTTTTGAATATTATATCAGTAAAGTACGAGTTTAATTTAAATTTTATAAGTTACAGTAAATTACCTTTTTAGATTCAAACTACAAATTTGGATCAACATGCTATGAGTACAAATTCATGTTAGTTTCTTTTGCAAAGATGTGCCTCATTCTGTGCCCACAGCTGCCAGTCTGGAACCTAGCTGGTGGCTCTTACCTTGGTTCAGTTTTCAGAGTTTTTGGTTTGTTTTTTGTTAGAATTCTATTCAGATGAGTAGTTAGGTATTGATCCTAGGTGTTCTTAACAACATGATTTTGTTTTTCTAAGTCTCTGCCTTACTATTTTCTTCTTGGTGTTACCTGGTTATGGGCTCACTTCTCCAGTCCTGCATCTAGATATCTGTGCTACGTCACAAAGTTCTTATAACTTCAGCTGCTTTCATGGCCAAGAGGTGAGAACAGAAAGAAAGAGAGAGAGAGAGAGGAGGGAGAGAAGAAGAGGGAGAGAGAGAGGGAGAAGAGGAAGAGGAGGAGAAAGAAGAAAGTAGTAGTAGTAGTGGTTTGCGCCTTTTTCTTGGATCTATAGATACTGATATTGCTAATGTAGTTTCCTGTCTCTCAGAATTTTAGGTGCTTGCAGTCCAGGCAAGATGTCAATGCTCCAACTAATCCAGAATTGAAACTAATTAATCACATCATTTTAGATTTTAAACTGGTATCTTATAACCCACACAGTATGCAACAATATTTTTCAAAGCTTACCATGAACAAAGTTCTTTTTTCTTTTTTGTAAATTCAAACATTTGTGTGATCCTTTGGGCTTTCTCAATTTCCAAGGATCTGTCAAAGTTATCCCACGATACCAGTTTTTGGCTGTTCTTACACATTCTTCTGGAATCTGTAAGACAGAACTCTCCAGAACCTTATCACATTATATCGCATTATTGTGTAGGGGCACAGAATCAATCTTGTCTGAGGATTTTCTGACTCACATGAACAATCTCACATAATTATCCTTACCTGCCTCTCTGAGCTGTATCTATGACTGATGGAATACCAAAATGTTTTATTATTGAGTGATGTAGAATAAAGAATTTATCCTTTGCTCACACTTAATGAAGTCTCTCTGAATAATCTAGTGCACTAAAGAATTTATCAGTGCTCTTCCCAAAGCCAGAAAACAAGGACAGATTTGAGAAAATGAAGGAAAATCTATGTATTCTAATTCAAACTGTACTCCAACAAAGTCACAAAATGCATTCATATAAAGCTAATTAAATGTATAATTTGATTTATTTTGACATTTTATTTATAACAAAGCTATTGCTCCCATATGACTTGTGATAGACTGCAGACATGGCACAAATTCTCCATCATTTCTTAATCTATGTACTTTCTTAGTGACTTTGTAATTCCTCAAAAGATGAAGTCTGCTTCCCCACTATTTAAATCTGGGATGGTCTGGGACTTCCTTGGCCATTAGAATGTGGTAGAAAAGATATTGTACCAAGCCCAAGTCTAGGTCAAGAGGCCTTACATTCTTCTGTTCACTCCCTTGAAACTCTGCTGAGCCACTGTGCCAATAATCTGAGGCTCTCCTGTAGGAGGATGAGGGGTTATGTGGAAGAGAAACGAGCCCTTCAAACTGAACCAGTCAGTGATCCACCCAATCTCCACCCAACCACATCTGTGAATGGTTCCAGTTCATGTTACCCGAGCCAGACTTAGATCTACAGAATTACCCACTCTGTGGATATGAGAACTAATAAAACACGCATGAAGCCAATTTATCTGGCTCCTCTGTTATTCAGCTAAATTTGAAACATGAACTAAGAACTACTTTTTTCTTTAATGAGTCCTTTCTCTCCTTCCTTTTTTTCTGAAAATACCACAACCACCCCAATATGGTTCAAATCTAGATGCCCCCCAAAATCTCATGTGCGTATAGGTGGGGCTTTTGGGAGGGGACTGGATTATGGGGCTGTGCTATGTATCACTGATTTAGCCAAATGTGGTATTGGAGGTGAAGCCTGGTGAGAGGAAGCACGGATTGGGAGGGTGTATTTCCCTCCCTCCTCCATCACTCTCACTGCTTCCCACCGCCGTGCCCTTCTGCTATGCCACTCGGCCTTGGAGCCGGCCGACTATGGGCTGAAAGCTCTGCAAACTGTGAGTCAAAATAAACCTCTTCTCTTTTACTTTGCTGGTGTTGGGTATAGTGTCTCAGTGACAAGAAAATAACTAAGATACATGCACACACACACACATAGAGAGGGGGGGATTGTGCTGTGTACTTAGAAACTCTATTCTGCAGTTCCCAATCAAACAAATACCTGTTTTTCTACACTTTTAAGGACTCACAAGTAACCATTATCAATGTTGCAGAAAGCAGACAAGATTTTTTGTACATTTCATGGTCCACACTCTGCACCTTCAGCCGTTATTGCCATCAGAATGGCATAGTTCATGGATCCCATCTTTTGCATACATTTTCCTCCTGAGAAAGAAATGAGATTGACTTATACAGAATGACTCTGTTGATTTGAATTAGAAAAAGAAGGCTGTAATTGAGACTATGCAGACAGTGCCGTCCAGACTCACATTTTATATTCTCAGCCCTAATTAGCTCTTTAGGAGCAGATTGTTTGCAATGAGCTCGAGAAAATTGAGTATGATTTACTCAAGGCAAACAGGGTTCAGTTGTTAACCTTTCAGTATTTAACAAGGCAACATCTTAAGGATGAACAGCAGTAAATAAGGAAGCTTGTCAATAAGAATCAAGACTGTGCTGTAATCCAATTTTATACCAAAAAACAAGTCTGGAGAAAAATAACTTCTCTGGCATGAAGCAACAGTAGAAATACTTCATCCCAATTTTAATTTTGGGATATCTAGTATTTAGAAGTGAACATAAACCACACGATGTTTCTATTCTATTGCAGAAAGCAAGGAAAAATTCTAAGTAGAAAAAATGTGGGAATAAGGTGTCTGATTTCAAAGGAATATGAATGTTTTGCTAGCAATGTGAGTTGTAAACAGTCTTAAGACCTGTTTATTACCAGTTTAGACCCTTTATCATCAGATTTTTTCAGACGTATTTACATCTGTGTCTCCCAATAGACCACTAAGAGACAAAAGTTGAACTGTTAATTTTGAAACTTGAAATCCATGACCATAGCTGTTTTGTATAAATTAAGTGAAAGTGGAATATTAGTACTTTCTGTAAATATCAGTTCTTTTTTTTTTTTTTTTTGCATTTTGGATGCTGGATACAAACTCAGTTTCTACTTCTTGATTGATTGATTGGATGGAATGTTAGATTCATTGCAAAATGGACAATATTTATTTTTCTTCTGTATCAACACCTCCTTTGTAATGTGATTTTTCAATTTCTCTCAATAAGAGGAAAATCTATTTCCTGACTCTGAGCTGACCTTGGCATTTGTTTCACCCTTTTCTTCAATCCATTCCAGTCCCAAGCTTCAAGAGGCCTTTAAGTCTTCTATTTGTTCTATTGGAATGTTGCCCAACTGTTATGTGAAACACCCAGAACTATGATGTAGAAAAATAACCATATGAGCTCACTGTAATCTAGTAGCTGAACACAGATGAAAATGGAGAAACCAGCCAGCTGAGTGAAGTCTGAAGAAATGATTTTTGCTTTAAAATCACTTTTTAATGATTTGTATTCAGGAAAAACTGATACAAATAGTTAAATCTATAAATACTGGCATGATCCTACAGTAGATTGACCTTGAAGGTTTTTCTTCTTGACATTTGAGCTGTTCAAATATCCTTTCTGATCCTAGGCTTTCTGAGTCTTCCCGCCCCCACTTCTTTTCTCCTCCTCAGGGGATATTTGATCTCCTAAATCCTTGTTTCATCTCTGTTTTTTGTTTTCCACCATTTCTCCTTGGCTTTTAGCTTAGGCTCTCTATTGTGTTGCAAACGATTGATTTTTCTCTTCTTGTACATTATCATTCAAGCTTCCACTTTTCTATAGTACAGGAGAGGAATTTATGAAAACTCTCTCTACAATCAGCCAAATAGCTACATGACTATTATTGCCACTTCCAAGTATTTTATGCTGAAAAGCAAAAGAACAGAAAACAAAATAAAATAACAAAAACAAATTTCCCAATTCTTGGCTTTCAGTTATGTTGCACTGTTATTCTGGTATAATTTGCATATTTTGTTCCAGCAGGGATTATAGAATATTCTTTATTCCAGGACTGCATTGAGAGAAAAGATAAAACATAATTCTATCTGTGGTATAAACTTTTGAGTCACTAAAAGAGACTGTTTTTTCATCTAATACCATCCTTGCTTCTTGACTACACCCAACACCAGCCATAGGACGGTGTTGTGGTAGATCATTGAACTTTTCACTCAGGATTGTGCTTTTCCAGTATAAATGTAGCTCGATATGTT